GCCCTGGTGAAGGACTTTGTGCAGATGAAGGCCAGGGAGCAGGAGCTGGAGATGGAGCAGGAGACAGAGACAGAGTTCAACCTCCTTCGTGCTAGGCTGGGGGCCGGGGCTTCGCAGGGGGGTGCGGAGCAGGAGTGGAGGACACAAGGAGTTGGGGGGAGCTCTGGCCAGACTCTTCCCACCTTGTCACCACCCCCTCCCCATCCAAGTCTCTTGCTGGAGCCCAGGTGGCTGGGTGCTTCTGTGTTGGGCTGCTAAGGCAAGGCCTGCGGTTGGCAGCCACCCGCGGCTCAGCAGGACAACGACTCGACTGCCCACTGTCTACTCCGGTTAGAAGTTCCAGTCTCAGAAACTCTCCGGGGGAGTGGTGGTGGTGGTGGTGGTGCGTTCTCCCTGGCCCTAGAGGGTCGCTCTGACTCAGTGACAGTGAGTCTGGTTTTTCTGAAGGTCTTCGCACTCTCTCCATGGCCAGTCCCTTCACCACCCCCAGCAATGACCTCAACGCAAATGGAGGGGAGCCTAGGGCCCCTCCTTAGAGAGAGCGAGGGAAGTCAGTGCCATGACGCAATGGAGCTCGGTCGGCCCTCCCATTGGCTGGCCCTGGTCACTTTGGATTGGCCGCGCGGGATCGTGGGGACTCCCCGCCCGCTCTCGCTGGAATAAGAAGCCCGGGCTCCGCCGGGAAGTCGCCCGCAGCAGGCGTTGTGTGTCACCCCGGTGAACCGGCCTCCCACCTGTCTGGCGGTCTCCGGAGCGAGCTGTCTCCCGACTCTGCGCATCCCAAGGTGAGGACCTTCCCACTCCGCTCCCTCTACCTGCCTCTCCGGGAGCTCCGCCCCTTTTCCTGCCGGCCTAGCAGCCTTTCCACCGCCCTCTCAGCCTGCACCAGAGCCGGGTGGTCCCAACCACCTTTTCTGCTGGGTACGGAGAACTGGGGCCTTGGGGCTTTCTCCCAAAGGGCGCCAGTGCACGGGGCACCTGCTGGGCTCAGACTGTGAGTGGCGCTCCCCTCCCTTAGGGTGGCTGTGCCTCCGCCTTAGTGCCACCTGGGCATGGTCCCCTGCGCCAGCCGCCCAGGGCTCCTTCTGCGGTCACTAGAGCCTGCCCCAGAGGTGCGGGGGTGGGGTGGGGGCTGTTCCTCTGACTTAGGACTGGGACTTCAGGGCGCAGGGAGGCCAGCGGACCAAGCCGTGTCTACTGCCAACAGGAGCCCTAATGGATGCTATACATGAAACTTTCCCCAAATCTCAGCCAGCCCAGCCAATGGAGATAGGAGCTCCTTTCTGATCTACCTTCCCCTTCTCGCCTTCCTTTACCACGGGCTGGCTCAAAGCCCAACGGAGAAAGGCGGTCCCATTTTGTTTCCCTTTCTGGCTGAGAAGACTTGGAGCTAATGTGCAGCAGGAGGGGCCTGCGGTGGGGCTCCTCATAGATAAGGTGGAGGGGTGAGGACAAGCAACGGGCGTTTGCCTTTACAGAACAGAACCAGGTTTATTGCTTCCCCACTCCCCTCTTGTTTGACAAGGGTACCTGTTTCTTCTCTCTCTCTCTCTCTCTCTCTCTCTCTCTCTCTCTCTCTCTCTCTCTCTCTCTCTCTCTCTCTCTCAGCAAACACTGAGGACAAGCAGTAGCAGCCCTTGCAAAGGCAGGATCAGAACCAGGGTGCGCAGGCTATCAGGCAGTGTGTGCTCTGCATGCAGCGGTGAGTGACATCATTCTATCTTTACAGCGAGGATGATGGGCTTCCGGAAGTTCTCCCCCTTCTTGGCTCTCAGCATCTTGGTCCTGTGTCAAGCTGGCAACCTCCAGGCAGCGCCATTCAGGTGAGACACCCGTCTTGAAATACCCTGCACACTGTCCCTAGGAATAGATTATTCCACACTGAGGTCACAGTGGCCCGTGGCTCCCAGAGCATCCTGGTCCCAGGATGAACACTGGTCTCAGGCCCTGTACACCTGGTAGTCAAGCTGGCCACATCCTATGGGAAGGTTAGGGAGACCAGGAGGTCTCTCTAACAATTGCCATTATTAGCCTATTTCACACCCTGGTCAAATTATACGAGTATTTAGTCAACAGAAAACTTCTTCCTATTTCTATCCTAATTGTCAATTTATATCATTTAATCTGTGATGTCTGTGTTTGACACCAGAACACTTGTGTCTGGGTCCCCAAAAGTCAGCATCTGAACCCAGAAGGTTCAGAGGTCCAGGCCCTGAACACCTGGGAGTTGAGCCGGCCACCTCCTATGGGGAAGTGAGAGAGACCAGGAGGTCGGGCTGGGGCCAGGCAGGGGTCTTAGGTCTGTCTGCATTGGCATTGCTTCCTCTCCCCAGGTCTGCCATAGAGAGCAGCCCTGACCCCACGGCGCTCAGCGAGGAGGAAGCGCGCCTCCTGCTGGCCGCCCTGGTGAAGGACTTTGTGCAGATGAAGGCCAGGGAGCAGGAGCTGGAGATGGAGCAGGAGACAGAGGGCCCCAGGTAAGGCTCCCAGGCGCCCAGCACAGGCCTCCCCGCCTCCCGCTCCACCCAGGAAGGTGGACCCCAGAGGCGCAGCGGGAGCCCAGCAGGAGATGGCCAGGCTCCAGCGGCTAGAGGAGCTGTGGCTTAGCTGTGGAACAGGACAAGTCCTCTTGCCAAGGCTGTCAGGAAGGGGGTGGGGCAGTTGTGAGAGCTGGTGAGGGTAAGTGCACCCAGGAGAGCTCCGCCCACTGCAGGTGTCAGGGCGGGTAAGTGCATCTCAGGAGCTTCTAGAAGTTGGGTCCCACCTGGTTAGCCTGCACGCTGTTCCTTCCACCTGCGAGGAGCCTTCCATCCCCAAGGGTGAGGGGAAGGTGAAGACCATGCGGAGGGGGCGGGGAGGGCAGATAGAGCTGTGTCTGAGGTAGGGGTGGGGCCATTCGTTGTCAGGTAGGTGGAGCCTCTGTGGAGATGTGCATGCTGTCCTGGGGGCAGGGGGGAGAGAGCAGGCTTCCCCCACCGCACCTCCCTGTGCACCCTGAACGGAGACACCCAAGCTGGCCTCAGCACTGCCCAGAAGCCTGCATTGCAGCTCCATGGACCCCGAGAACCCCCAGGGCTGCAGACAGCATGGCAGGCTGAGCAGCATGTGGAATGCAGGGGACGCGCCTCCTCTCTGGACCCTTGCCCTTCGTGCACTGTCAGCTGCCCCAGTGCAGCGCGGAGTGTCCTGCCTGGGTGTGTGAGCTGTCCATAGGGATGTCCCTGCTGCCCCTGCTTGCGATGCCCCTGCTTGCACTAAGCTGCCCGCCTGTCCCTGTGGCAAAGGCCGGGGCGTGCTTCTGTCTGGCTTGTCTTTTCCCCCTACAGCATGGACAGCCCCAGAAGCAAGCTTGGTGCAGCAGGCTGAGTACCTGCGTGCTGGGTGCATACTGGCAGCACCTGAACAAGCTTCATTTGTTCTCTGGCGTGGATTTCGGGGCTGATGGGCCTGGCAAGAAAAGGGGCGTGGCCAGCAGCTTTAAGAATGAAGGAAGCTTTTCCCACTTTGGGCCACCCCCGGATGCCAACTGAATGCCCTCTCTCCTAGCTGATTTTCTTTCTTGCTTCCATTTAAGGATTTGATGCATGTGGCTCCTCTCTAATTACCACTCAAGTAGAATGTTGGGAGTGGAGGGATGGAAGGAGAAAGAGCAGGACTCAGAGACCAGGTTAGAGATCAGAGAGCAAGTGGCAGTTTCTGGAGACCGTCCAGGATGTGTAGGGCCGAGCCCCTCAAACACTGAAGCCCTACAAATGTGTGGGGCAGAGCCCTTCAAAGGTAAGCAACTTTCTTCCACCTCCTGTGATGAATAAACCTCTTTTTCTAAAAGGACCTGAGCTGTGGTGGTCATTACTCTAGCCTACATTCCAGCCTAGTGTGCCCAAGCCCCTGCTAAGACTGAGTAGCTTTATCCTTGAGGCAACTGGACCCTCGGGCTTGTTGAGTGGCCCCTGCCAACCAGGCCACATCAAGAGCGCTGTGCTAAGGAGCAGGTAAGCTGGGAGAGGATGCTGGAAACGCTGTTCTCAGAGCTTCTCGCAGGTAAGGCTTTAGGGATGTTTCATTTTCCTGGGACATTGTGCTGGCGCCGTGGTTAGGGGATGGCCTCTGTCCAGTCATGTTGGGTCTTGGGGTGGGGCTGGGCCTTTACTGACCACTCCTTCCTGGTTCCAAAGGGATGGCATGGAAGGGATGCTCCCACTCAGGTGAGTGTAAGGCCAGGGCTTGGACCGCAAGGTTTCAGCATGTCACCATGGCGAGGAACTGGGTTTTGGGAAGGGCTTCTATCAAAAGCTGCCAGACATTCTCCCCTAACAGCTGTGCTAATAGCATTTAGAAGAAACACTTATTGTTGAGTGGTTGTGTCCCAGAGCTGCAGTTCTCTTTCTGCTGATCCCAAGGGGCAGGCTCCTCCCCACCCCACCAGACTCCCTGACAGACTCCTCTTCTTTCTCCATTCTGCAAATCAGCGTCACTGCCCAGAAAAGAGCCTGCAAAACTGCCACCTGTGTGACTCACCGCCTGGCAGACTTGCTGAGCAGATCAGGGGGCATGCTGAAGAGTAACTTCGTGCCCACCGACGTGGGCTCCAAGGCCTTTGGCCGGCGCCGCAGGGACCTTCAAGCCTGAGCATCTGAGAGACCCCTGGAAGAAGGTGACTGTCCTTGTATTCTGGGGTAAAAGGGGGGAGGGCTTTGGAAGGGAAGATCCAACTTTTGAAGTCCATTGGATCTGCTAGTTCCTCTTTCTCCAATGGCATTCTTCTTCCTGAGGTAGTGTCTTTGAGAACAGAGTTTGACATCAGATTATTGGGAGAGGCGGCAGAGATGCAGCATCCTTTTTCAGAGAAGGAAAAAAATCTAGTTGGATTCAGAAAGGGAGAGGCCTGAAAACCTCAACAAGGACCACTCTTTATTAATGAATCCAGGCTCAGAAAGGACTCAGCCCTTGATTAAGGTCCACAAATTCAGGCCCAAGGGCTCTAATTCTTATGTGCCATATACTGATAGTTCAAAGGAACTTTGTTGGCACCATGGTTAAATGTTCAGCTGCTAATCTGCTAACCTAAAGGTGAGTGGTTGAAACCCACTAGCCCTTCAGTGGAGGAACAGTGTGACAGTCTACGTCCATAAAGATTTATAGCCCTGGAAACCATATATTGTACCACTGCTATGATTAAATTTATTTTGATTTACCACCAAAGTTGACTGTGTCTCATAATCGCAGCGCACTGATCCTGTTTAAAGAAGCACTTCTGTAGCTGAGTGGTTCTCTCAGTAGTGATTGTGATTATTCAACAGCATCCTTTCCTCTTCCCTTCTCCTCCTCCTCCTCCTCCTCC